GAAGAGCCTGGGATATGATAACCATCAGGAAAAACCATAGACCAGAGACATTCTGTGGGGGTGGAGTGGGGAATGGGATCAAAAGCGGGGGGGGGGGAAGGTGAGGGGAGGTGAAGGCCCAGTTAAGGAAAGGTCACCAGCCACACCACCAGCACAGGTGGCCCAGATTACTCCACGAAACCCCCCAGATTACTCCACGAAACCCCGGGTGAGAAGGGTTCCTCCAAGCCCTCCCTCCAACTAAGGATGGAGGGAGGCTGCTCTAGGAGAGGACCCAAGTGGAAAGGTACTTGAGAAGGGGCCAGGTCACTCTGGAGGAGATGACCAGAGCAGCCAGGAAGGAGCTGCCTGTGGCTACTGTAGGAGTGCAGTGTCTTAGGCCGTATGCCATTTTTAGTATAATTTTACATACATGTAGGTCTTCCTCACTCTGCTACTATAATAGTGATCTGACAAAGTCATCAAATGACCTGGAGCCACGAGGTAAGCAGAATTCTAGACAGGACTAAATTCTAGACAGCAGAATTCTAGACAGGACACCCCAAAGATGTGACCTCATGACCCTGATCAGAGGAAGTTTGTATTCTGGGGAGCAGCTGTTGCTTCTTTTGAGGACAGGACTGCTGGCCTCCACAGCTTCCTGGCCCCTAGCAAACACCAGCAATGGAGGTGCAGGAGGGCACCCTCTGACCTCAGCCCCAACCCAGCCTGACAAGCAAGTAGGAGTCCAAACACCTTAAGTGCGAAAAGGAGAGAGAAGGTGAAGGGCGAATTCACAGACACAAACTTCAATTTCTGTAAGAGGCAGCTAAGTGACATAAATGAGTGGAAGGCCGTGGCAGGAGCAGAGCGGCATGGTCAATTAAAGTCGTCCCTCACAAGGAGCCATCCAATCTTGGGTGGTGCAAGCACATGGTAAAAGTGATTTTAAATAGTGAAAAAGAGTCGTCAAGAATCTGTCTTCCCACTCCTGGTCCCTGAAAGCACACAGGGTTTGGAGAACTTTTTGCTCCGGGTTGTGGGGGCGAGCTGTTCCTGAGTCAGACAGCAGGTGGCGCTCGTGCCAGAAAATAAGAAAGAGGAACGAAACTAAGTTACTTAACTCATTTCCAGTAACTTCTCTCCCTCCTCCCCCACAGAGCCTTGTCCAGCCCCACCTCCTGTTCCCAGGCCTGGGCCAAGTCCTCGCAGGTCCTAGATGTCCGCTTCCAGATGTCTGGTGTCAGAGTGGGGAACTGTCTCTGGAGGAGCCCCCCCTTCACAGCTGTTCAGGCAAGATGTGAGTGTGCTATGGAGAGGCCTGGAGGACAGTGGGACTCAGGCCAAGAGAGAGAGAGACTGGATTTGCCCATAGACCCTAGTGTCCTGTCTGGGTGGCCAGAAAGTGTCCCTTTCTTATATCACTACGGGTCCCGCAGATCCCACGGTAACGGTGGGGTTTCTGAAGCAGAAAGCAGCCCAGCCCCACTTTAGATGAAATTGTTCAGGATTTGAGCAATAGTGGAAAACTCAAGGCTGTGCTCTCGCTGAATAGGAAGTTGCAGGAACTGAGGTGAGGGGGACACCCAGGCCTCATGGGTTGAGGCCACAGTCTCTAAAGTTTTTGCCAAGCCTGTCTATCCCCTCACATGGGCTGCCTGGCTCCTCCTTTTTCTGCAGGCCTCAGGCCACAACTGCATAGCCTTATTTCACCCTCCTCCCCACACAGGTGGTGGTTTCTCCTCTGGGGAGTCCTCCAGGGTTGCCCCACGCGGGGTTCTGTGCTCGTGGCCCAGCAGCTACCCCAGCCACTGACATCCCCAGGGTACCCAGAGCCGTATCTGAGGGGCCAGGAGAGCACCACTGACATCGAGGCTCCAGAGGGCTTCGCTGTGAAACTCATCTTCCAGGACTTTGACCTGGAGCCGTCCCAAGACTGTGAACTGGACTCTGTCACAGTGAGCTGGGCTGGGGTACTGGTGGGACTCTGGGGAGGGAGGTTGATGACCTGGAGCCCAGGGGCAGTGGGAGGCGGCTGCACTTTGGATCATGGGGGATGGATGAAGAGCCAGAGTCTGGAGCTCGGGTCCTGGCTTCCCGGGAAAGAACAGATCTGCCCCAGTGCCCAAGCCCCCCACCCCCCACTCCCAGCAACCACGCCCCTGCTGCCACCTGGGCCCCATGGAGCAAAGAGCAGGCAACAGGACAGACTCTGCCTCCATAGGTCTTACAAAGGGCAGCACAGATTCCTAGAGAAAAAGAGCAAGGAATTAAATCATCAGTCACTAAAAATACATCGCCAGGTTTCACAGAGGGCTCTTTGTCCGGCCAGGAAGCTGGGTATACATAATACGAAAGGGTTAGGTAACTGTCTTTGCCTTAAAGAAGCGATCACAAAACTGATGATGAGGCATTCATAAGACTCTTTTAAAATACTACTTTACATTATCTTCTGGTTTACGTTTTTATAGCAAAATAGTACATGCACAGTTTTTGTATTTTTTTTAAATCAGTGTTACAAGACTTATTTTTTTTTAAGATGTATTTATGTATACATATAGAACTAAGGTATAGGCCAGAGGTGCAGGGGCGGTGAGAGGATTCACCAGAGACAGAGTAGGGAGAAGAATAGGCCGACTGATGAAGTACACTGCTGAGGGGAGCAGCGGGCGGGTTAGGAAAGATCTGCCTCGCCATGTGGATCACCTCCCAGGTCGGGGATCGAACTCATGGTGCAGTGACTGAGGACAGCTTCAAAGTGCCGTGCTTTAACCCGTTGCATCACCAGGGAGGGCCCAGAGTTACAAGACTTATAATGAACAACATATTCCAGCCATCCTCTCCACCCATAACTATTTATAATCATGTAGCTGTTTCATCTGATATTACTTTCATATGTGTAAAAGTCATGCTTACTCTGGTTTGCTTTTGAATGTTTGCTTCTGAATATGTGTAAAAGTCATGCTTACTCTGGTTTGCTTTTGAATGTTAAATTCCAACTGTAGAAGCTAAGGGTTGGCTTTATCTCTCTTGGATCTTCAGCACCCTCATCTTCCCTCCTCCTTCATCATATTTAGTTACATCTGTAGGGAAGGAAAGTTCTTCCACTATCCATCAAGTTTCTCCCAACTGGTCTAATAATTAAATTGATATAAGACAGATTAACAGGAGAAAAACTGAATTTTATATGCACTGGAGCCCACACAGGTAAAATTGCATGTATGTGCTACCTTGAGCTAAGGAGTAGAATAAGAGCCTGGGCCTTCAGAGGGGGAGTAGGATAATTCACAATACAGTAAGAACAGATGTTTGGCAGTTAGATGTTTGCCCTGCCATGCAGATAGATCATAAAAATTTAGCTGGGCTAATAATTCTCCTTTTGTAAGGTCCCTATGTAAATTCTTCCAGGTTTGGGGGAAGAGGCAAAAGTTTCTCTTGAGCCTGCAGGGTCTTGATTGCTTTCAAAATAATCCACATACCAAAGGGGCATCTCTCGGGGAGACTTGCTCTGAACCCCTCCATGTTTATATTCACTATTTACACTTGCATCTAGGCTTGTGGTGTACAATAACAGTTTCTCTCTTCCGCAACTTTGTATTTTCCAGGAGTCAATAATTACATGAAGTTCTTTTGGGGTTTTGTTTGTTTTGTTTTGATTTTTCAGTTTGTTTAGTTCTCTCTAAAATTCCCCCAAACTCTTAGCCAGAATACATCTCCTCATGGCCTATTCAAATGCATATCTTTATCTTTTTTTTTTTTTAAAGATTTATTTATTCATACAGAACTGGGGTACAGGCCAGAGATGCGGAGGGTGAGAGGATTCACCAGAGACAGAGCGGGGAGCATAACAGGCAGATCGACGAAGTACACTGCTGAGGGGAGCAGCGGGCGGGTCAGGAGAGGTCTGCCGCGCCATGTGGATCTCCTCCTGGGCAGGCGGGATCGAACTCATGCGGAAGTGGCTTAAGCTTCTTAGTGCAGTGCTTTAACCCGCTGTGCCACCAGGGAGGGCCCTCTTTATCTTTTTATTGGTGACATCACACCTGCAGAACTCTTGAAGATTTCTTTCTCTTTTTGAGTTCTCTGCTTTCTAAGAACCCCCTCATATTATGAGAGCACCCTTCTTCCTGATTCTGGGGATTTCCTTTAACTGTTCTGTCTTGGAACTGTTAGATGTTCTCACACATCCCTAAATGTCATCACTGTACCCTCCCAGTTGATGGGAAGTTGATCTGGGTTGCATTCACTGTAGAACTCTAGGGATTTAATCTCTTTAGAATTTTATTCTCCTTATTATCAATACCCTGAGCATTCATTATTATGTGTTATATGCTGATCATTCTGTAGTCATCGTATAGGATTCTTTGAATCTAGAGACTCTGAATCTAGTCCTTCAATTCTAGGAATGTTCTTGTGTTGTTTTTAGTAAGTTCTAGATGTCTACTTTCTTGATTTTCTCATTCTAGAGCTCATGATATTTAACTATTATATGTTCTGGACTGAATCAGGTTTTGTTCTCCATTCTGTTCTGGTTTCTTATTTTTATCTCTTTGTCTTTTTGCTCCACTTTCTGGGAGATTTCCTCATTTTAAATATCAATTTTAATATTAATTGTTTCTACTAACATATTTTTCCCCATATAAAGACTCATTTTCATTTTTTTTAATTGCTTTTTTTACAAAACATTGCTCTTGTTTCATGGAGGCAATGCTACCATTTTCTCTCTGTTGCGATTTATTTTTTTTTAAGATTTACTTATTTATGCTTACAGAACTGGGGTACAGGCCAGAGGTGTGGTGGGTGAGAGGATTCACCAGAGGCAGAGTAGAGAGGAGAACAGTCAGATCTACGGAAATACACTGCTGAGGGGAGCAGCAGGCTGGTCAGGAGAGGTCTGCCATGCCATGTGCTGCAGTACTACTACTTGTGCTGCAGTAGCTTCGGAGAGCTTCAAAATGCGGTACTTTAACCTATTGTGCCACCAGGGAAGCTTATTGGGATTATTTTTAAATGTTTCTTCTGTTCCCTATATTATTTCTACTCCATCCATGCTCCTTCCTACTGTTCATTTGTTTTGGTCTTTGCTTTTTATGTTAGGAACTTTTCTGATAAGCCTTGGGTGTTCTTTCATATTTAAGAATAAAGTACTACAATGTACTGAATGCTCATTGTAGGTAGCTAAAATTTCTCAAATGACAGGCTTGAAAAAGGGGTTATCAGCAATGTGACCCAAATGTGCTATTGGGGGCAGACTGACTGTCAATATGCAGAAGTATTTTTCTGTGGGAACACCTTCCTCCAAAAGGAATCCACCCATCTCCTGCTCACAGTTGCCAGCATGTTTCTGGCTGTCAAGGTGGGCAAAGGGATCTAGAGTCCTGAGGTCTCTGTCCATGAGCTTTCTTTCACCCCATTTGTCATTTCTACCCTTAAAGGGATGAGAACTTGCTTTCTCTATGTTGGCTTCTAATTCAGCAGATTCAGTTACTTCTCATTCATCTCATCCCACCTTCCAAAATGTCATCTCTCATCTCTGTCACCTCTCACTTCTTAGTCCTTGATCATCTATATCATTTATCCCTTTACTGTCATATTAGTGGAATTTGACACAGTAAAGGAGGCAAATGCATTATTGTTAGCATGAGACTGAGGGATTCTCTGGAGCCCACAAACGTGCACACTCTAGAGAGGGCTCTGGCCATTCATGTGTACAAAGATAACACATACTTTTAGTGTAAAAAAACTTCAACAGGATTAGTGTGCACAGAGAGAGAGCAAGAGAAAGGATACCAGTTTCCCAATAAAATACCCAAAGTTACCCATCCCCTCATGGGTAAATGCCCAGAAAAACAAGGTCAGCCCAAGCAGAACCACTGAGTCCTAGAAGTTTGCCACAAATCTAGAGCACCTTCTGGTGGAGAACCATAGGAATGGGGCAAAATGGGCCAGGCAAGTGTGGACAGGAGAAAAATCAAAGTACAAATCAAGATAATGGCTGCCATGGTCAGTCTCCTCACAGGCCGGTCAACCTGGCCACAGTTCTCTTATCCACAAATCTCTTTCAAGTGTCTCTAAATGTCTTGACTCCATGTGTCTCCTCCAAATCCCCAAGTCCTTGGTGCAAGTCAAAAACCAAGAAGGAAGCACCCTTTTTCCCACATGGCTCCCTGAGCCAACCAGCCTTCATGTTCTAGAGCTTCCCCTGGCCACTTAGCTGTGCCCCTCATTGAGTGGGGCAGAGAACATGGCACTTCTGTGGAGCGGCCTCTGTTACAATATTGCTTCAGATTTAAGCAGAAGTCAGGAAAACACATTATTCAACTGGTATAGGTCTACTGAGTACCTACCTTGAACACTGGACAATTTAAATTATAATTCTGGCCTGACTCTTCCTTTGTCATTGAAGTTCAAGCTCAGGAATAGACTTCTTCCCTCTTCCTTGCTGTCAGAGCAAGTCACACCCACCCACCTTGAATGCAGAATTCAACACACTATAGTCAAGTTCATTTTTTCCCTGTCAGTCATCAGCCAGACTATGGGCTGAGTAACAGATGCCTGTCTTATCCACACCTACCCCAGCACCTTGCATAGAGAACATAATCAGTAACCATTTGTTGACAGAATAAAATGAAATCCAAACTTGCCATGTGTGTAAGAAACACAACAGAATGAATGTTGCATCAGCTGGGAGTTCTGCAAGCAGTCAGTGCCCTGGCTGGACGAGGCTTTTATAGAAGAGAGAACTGATATCTGAGGTAGTTAAGAAACTCCCCATGTCCCACAGGGAATTAGGAGCAGAGTCTGGAATTTAACTCAGACCTTATGACTCCTGGGCGTGTGTTCATTCTGCTTTGCTAGTTAAACTCCTAAGTGATTTTATTTGGCCAGCAATCATGAGGAAGGATAAAAAGAAAATGGGTAGGTTTTACAAGGGTAAAGAACAGAATTCACCTGAATTTAGAGGTTTAAATTGGTTTTAATGAATGATGGGGAATTGGGCAGTGTCCTTTGAACAAGCCTAGGGCACTGCAAGGCTTGCCTAAGTGGAAGGTTTTTATAGTTAGAAAAAGGGTGGAGTTAGCTCATTAACCAAAGAAAAGTAACTTCAGGCAAAGCCGCTTCTGTTAAGGAAAGGCAAGGAGGGTGTTAGCATGCAGATGACCTCACTGTTGCTAACTGGGAAACTCCAGACTGATGGGTTTAGAATTCCACTTTACAGAAAAGCTGAAACTGCGGCTGGACTAGGTATCATGTCTTGGTGGGAGTTAGCATGAAAGATTCTGTTTTGGGCCTGCTCTTTTGCTTTTGGGTTTTGTTTGTTTTTGTTTTACAGCCAAAAAGATCAATTAAAGGCCCAGTTCCTATAGCAAATGCTTTTTCCCCAAGAGCGACACCTCTTAAATATGGGAACTTATTTTTGCCAATATTCTAAGGAAAAGAACAATATAGGCACATGTCCAAGCAAGGCGTTTCGGGTGACCAAGGAGTTTCTCTGTGCCAACTATGACCCAGTTAATGAGATCACAGCAAGATGGGCCCAACAGTCTTAAAGGACCTTGAGACTTAGAGAGAATGAGAGATTGAAAAGTTGGCAAGAACCCAGGAAATGTGGATTGGTAAGAAAGTCAGAAAGGAAATGAGCTGAGCAGTGAGCTATGTGCCCAGAATACAGGCCATGGCTGAAGTATGGGCTGGGGGAGCACCTTCCAAGCGGCCCTCAGAAGGAGGGGTCTGAGCAGTGACAAGGCAGTCAGGGGGAGACTGAAAGAGAAATAACCTATTACAGCACAGTTCAAGCCAAACAGGAACCCTAGCGTGCCCATACTCTGTACCCTGTGGTGTGTCTGAATCCACCTGTGGGGGCTTCATTTACATTTCATGGGGTGGAAGAGGGACACTCCCAAAGAAGGAAAGGCCAGGAACCCCAGGGCTCAGTTTTTGCAGGTCTCATTGTTTCACAGCTGTTGGCCCCACAGGAAGTTAGAGATGTTAAAGGCAAAGAGGGTGGAGGAAGCCAGTGAGAGGGGCCTGTGCCTGGAGGTACAGGGCCTGGAAGCCGTGGCTCCATGGCGCCATGTTAAGCATCAGGGCCCTGGTGGAAAGCAAATTCAGTGTAACTGCTATCTTCTTAGGACTTCCAATCTAGTGGACATTTGGGGGCCTGTATGTCTCCCAAGGAACTTCTCGAAAGAAGGTACTTTGATAGGCTTTATGAGATCATTGCGATAGGCCTAGACATCTGGTCATGACTAGAAGAAACGTGAGAATCAGTAATGAAACAGGAACCTGCTTGAGGAAGTTCCCATGAGGTGCAGCTTCTGAGCCCCAAAGGTGAGCAGACCTTCTAGATGGGCTGCTTGGAGTCCACCGCTCTGGTGTGGCCTGTGACCTGGTACAGATTCCTCCCACACCTGCCTATCCCTATCTCCTCCCCTTTCAGATCACAGCCAGTGGGATAGAGCCAACTCGGTTCTGTGGACAGCAAGGCTCCCTGCTGGGCAGAACCCCTGGTCAGAGGGAGTTTGTGTCCTCGGGGAGCAGTTTACGGCTGACCTTTCGTGTACCTGCCTCCTCTGAGGATAGAACCACCAGTCTCCACAAGGGTTTCTTGGCTCTCTACCAAGCTGTGGGTGAGTGTCTCTCCTGAGCTGGCAGCCTCTGTGCCAATCCTGAAGTGACTGGTGGAAGCGTGAGTGACTGCTGAGGCTGGGGCCACAGGGACTAACCCCAACCTACCCAGCCTCCCCCTGAGCATGAGCAGTGCAATTAAACAGGCAGCCAGTGCTTGTGGATAATGTTGCTTTTGAAGAATGGCCAAAAATCCATATTTTTAAGTGATACTCTAATTTCCAAATGGTAACTCAGATTTTTTTTTGAAAGGTAATGAAGATGATAAAAACTTCTTGTAAAAATATAGTAAAATATAAGTCTTCTTCTGATCTGTGATCCTTAGACCCTTGCTACTGTCTCCAGAAACAACATTGTTCTCCTTTTCCTGGGTAGCCTTCTAAAATCATTCTATGCCATTCAAAAGTGTGTGCATGTCCATAAGCTGCATACAGTGGAAAATGTTTTAAATTTGGTATTTTTCACTCAGTGATATATCTTTAAAATCATCCCACATCCTAAGGTTAACATTGCCTAATTCTTTTTAATGGCCATAAACTATTCCTTTGGTGGATGCATCCTGGTATTCTTAGTCCTCCATTGAGAAATACTTCATGGCCACAGCAGTCATGTGATGGGTATTCTGTATGTACATCTGTGTGCATGTATATGAGGATAAATTCTTAGAAATGCAAATGCTCAAAACAATTGCAGTTTTAATTCAGCTATTGCTAAAATGTCCCTGCAAAGGGGCTTTGCTAAAGTACACTCCCACTAACCGTGTATGAACATTTCCCCACTCCCTGTCTATCACAGCTATGCTCATACCTTTTAATACTGACAGTTTGATCAGTAAAAGATAGTTCAAATGTCTTTTTTAAAAGACTGTGCAAGTCAAACTATATATGAGTATGGTCCAGAGTCAGTCCCTGGGCTGCCTGTTTATAATTGTGTTATAGTTGAATGGCCACTGATTTCTTGTAGGCCAGCCCCCCACCCAGGCCCATGGGGAACCTAAAGCTATCAATACATCTAAAGATGACCCCTCCAAGATCCAGAGCCACTGCTGGGAGCCCTATTATCAAGCAGGTGAGTCTGTCTACTGGGGGTGCGGCTCTATCTCCCTCTCCCCCAGACTCTGGGTGTCTACACTCTTAGCCCCACAGACCCAGTTCTGATCCCTCTCCTTTCACTTCTCAGAGACACTCACCTGCACAGCCCAGACCCCTCGGGGGGAGAAGGAGGTTCCTCTCTGTGTGCCCAGTAAGTCAGTCCCACCAGCACGGTGACTGTGCCACCTCCCAAATGTACTGAGTTGTCCTTGGGCCTGCAGGGTGGGACACAATGTTAAAGGAAAGTTTTCGAATTGATAGGGGGGATAAAGGCAGGAAGTGGGGAAGAGGACTCAAGAAGACCCCAAAAAGAAGAAGCAAGGCTCTTGTCCCTACACTTTGAGAATCAATAAGTAACTGATAAAACTAAAAGCACAAAGGGAAACGATCATTTGGGAAAGTATTTATTTTGAAATAAGAGAAAATTCTTCTTTTGGTGTGGTAGCTGTAAAGATGCATGGACAGGCTCTCAGCCCTGCCTCCACCCACCCCCAATACTCCTGACATACATGACGTAGTACCAGAAAGTTATTTTATGCTTTTGTTGTTGTTGAGATGAAATTCCTATAACCTAAAACACACATTTTTACCATTTTAGAGTTTACAGTTCTTTTTAACACATTTGCAATGTTGTGCAATCATTGCCACTAATTCCAGAATATTCCATTACCCCATAAAGAAACTCTTAACTGTCCCTCGCCCATCCCCTGGAAACTAAAGATCCACTTTCTGTCCATGAACTTGACTATTCTGGATAGTTCCTGTCTTTGGAATCAGACAACATGTGGCCTTTTGCGTTTGGCTTCTTTCCCTCAGCATCATGTTTTCAAGACTCAGTCACACTGTAGGATCAGTCCTCCATTCCTTTTCGGGCTGACTAGAATGCCATTGCTCAGAGGAACCACATTTGCTCACGATGCATCAATGGTAGATGTATATTTTGGTGTTTCCTTTTTTTTTTTTTTCCTCTTTTATGGAAAATCCTGCTATGCACATCCATGTACAAGTTTCTGTTTGAACATGAGTTTCAGTTCTATTGGGTGTATACCTAGGAGTGAAAATGCTGAGTTCTACCGCAGTTCTGTGTTTAAACTTGTAGAAGAACTGCCAAACTATTTTCCACAGTATTGTGCTATTTTCAGTTTCCACCAACAAGAGATGAGAGTTCAAGGCCACCATTTTTGAAACATTTTTTTAGTTGAAACATTACTATTTTATCTGAATTTGAGTAAATTCCTCAGCTTTCACATCTACCCACAGAAAGTTCTAGCAGCACCCAGAAATAGTGCTTTGGAAAGAGGTTGGAGAGCAGATGGCAATGTTAGAAACAAGGGAATGACACAGAAAACAGAGACAAGAGGCATTGAAGACACCCTGCTCACTGCATGGCCTTATCCAGCTGAGGAAGGTCCCACAAGAATCTAAAGAAATTGTTTAAGAATGGCGGAAGGAAGCCTCCCTGGGGGTGCAGAGTTTGAAGTCTTAGCACTACCAAGCTACCACCAGCCACTGCAGCATTAGTTCAATCCCCAGCCAGGGAGGTGACCCACATAGCACGGCAGACCTCTCCTGCCTCACCCACTGCTCCCCTCAGCAATGTACTTCATTGATTGCCTGTTCTGCTCCCACTCTGTCTCTGGTGAATCCTCTCACAATCCCACCCCACCCCCACCTCTGACCAAACCACAGTTCTTGAATGCATAAATAAATAAAAATAAGTCTTTTTTTTTAAAAAAAAAGATTTATTTATTCATACAGAACTGGGGTACAGGCCAGAGGCTCAGGGGGGGTGAGAGGATTCACCAGAGACAGAGTGGGGAGCAGAACAGGCAGATCGATGAAGTACACTGCTGAGGGGAGCAGAGGGCGGGTCAGGAGAGGTCTGCAGCGCCATGTAGGTCACCTCCGGGGCAGGCGGGAATCGAACTCATGCGGAAGCGGCTTTAGCTTCTCAGTGCTGTGCTTTAACCCGCTGCGCCACCAGGGAGGGCCCAAGTCTTTTTTTAAAAATGGCAGCGGGGTTAGGAGAGAGAGCACCTCACAGAAGCGGGTCTTTAGTGTCCTGAGGCAGCTGCTGACGTTCACCCCTGCCTCTCCTCTCTGGCAGTCTGTGGACGGCCAGCCGTCCCCATCGACCCCATCCAGGAGGCCCGTGGTTCTTCCAGAGCAAAGCCCGGTGCCTTCCCCTGGCAAGCCCTCACCAGTGTCTATGGCCGAGGTGGCGGAGCCCTGCTGGACGACAGATGGGTCCTCACGGCTGCCCACACCATCTACCCCAAGGACAGCGTCTTCCCGGGGAAGAATCGGAGCGCGGATGTGTTCCTGGGTCACACAGATGTAGAGGAGATGCTGCAACGGGGCCACCGCCCCGTGAGGCGTGTGGTGGTGCACCCCGACTACCGTCAGGATGAACCTGGCAACTTCGACGGGGACATTGCCCTCCTGGAGCTGCAGCACCGGGTGCCGCTCGGGCCCAGCCTCCTCCCGGTGTGTCTGCCTGACAGCGAGAGCCTCTACCACAGCGGCCTGTGGGGCTACGTGAGCGGCTTCGGTGTGGAGAGGGGCTGGCTGCCCTCGGAGCTCAAGTACTCCGGGCTGCCCGTGGCCCCCCGGCCGGCCTGTGAGGCCTGGCTCCAGGAGAAGCAGAGGACAGAGGTGTTTTCTGACAACATGTTCTGTGTGGGGGATGAGAAGCGGGCGCAGGGTGTCTGCCAGGGAGACAGCGGCAGCGTGTTTGTGGTGTGGGACGGCGGTGCCCGCCGCTGGGTAGCCACAGGCATCGTTTCGTGGGGTGTCGGGTGTGGCGAAGGATATGGTTTCTACACCAAGGTGCTCAACTACGTGGACTGGATCAAGGGCGTGATGGGTGGGAAGGACTGACGGGTGGGGGGAGGGGCTCTGAGCAGCATGGCGCTGACTCTGTGGAAGCCCCAGACAGGAAGCGGGGAGTGAGGGCCGCCTGGGAGTGGGGAGAGAGGAGACGGGAACCCCTAGTCAAGTCACTTCTCGACTCCAGCCCCATGCCACCCTACATAAGAAGGGGTGTCCCACGGTCCCTCCTCGTCCACCTTGCCCTGCAACCAGGGCCATCTTCACTTTGAACTTCAGCTCCTGCTAACACAGCCTCCTGGGGTCCCATCTCTGCCTCACCTCCCAGTTCAGGTGGAGTTGGGGGGAAGTGTTCTAATTGCATTTTGTCTCTGAAACCTTCCAAAGCCCTTTTAGTTGACCTTCAAATATTCGCCCTAATGGTTTCACCCTCTGCCTCAGTTCCTCCATACAATTACAGTCAAAGCTCATATTTTTTGTTTGTTTGATTGACATCTTCTGTATGGCAAGTGCTTCACGGGTGACACCAAGCTTACAAAGAAAGTGTTATTAGCCATATTTTATAAATGAGGAAACTGAAGCTCAGGGAGAACAAGTGACATGCCGGGATCCCACAGCGAGTACCAATTCCCCTTCCCAATGCCCTCACCCTTACAGAGTCCCCCACCTTGGAAACCCCTGATTCATTGAAGATGATACTACCTGGCTCTCACTTCTCTTCTGGTCACATCTGCAGACAGGAGCTGAGCCCAGCGCTGGGCTGGATTTTCCTGCAGATACCTCCCTGTTGTTACTGGACACCCCGATCCATGCTCACCTGAGATCAATTCTTAAATTTTCAGTAAGGAGTTGAGACAATGCACAATAAAAGACACAAAACACAAGTGTTCGAGTGAAAATAGAAAATGAATGTCAAAACAAAAAAGAGGCCCTCCCTGGTGGCACAGTGGGTTGGGACACAGCACTGCAAGCTGGCCACAACTACTTCAGTGCGAGTTCGATCCCTCGCCCTGGAGGTAATCCACATGGCATGACAGACCTCTCCTGACCAGCCCGCTGCTCCCCTCAGCAGTGTACTTCCATGATCTGCCTACTCCGCTCCCCACTCTCTCTGGTGAAGCCTCTCACTGCCCCTGCACCTCTAGCTTGGACTTCATGAATAAATAAATATTTTTTAAAAAAAACATAAAAGAAAGCAATTTGCTAGCCCAGATAATCAAGTTAGCTATATGACTAAAGGTTACATTTGTCTGAAAAAAATGGCAAGATTCAAAGTTGTACATGGAAGCAGTTACTTCTATTTTTTAAACCTCTACATAGGCCCTCCCTGGTGGCACAACAGGTTAAAGCACAGCACTGCAAGCTGGCAGCAGCCACTGCAGTGTGAGTTCAATCCCTGCCCCAGAGGCAATCCATATGGCGAGGCAGACCTCTCCCATCTTGCCCGCTGCTCCCCTCAGCAGTGTACTTCATCAATCTGCCTGTTCTGCTCCCCACTCTGTCTCTGGTGAATCCTATCATGGCCCCTGCACCTCTGGCTTATACCCCCAGTTCTGTATGCATAAATAAATAAATCTTTAAGAAAAAAAAACCCTTTACATAGTACAAAAGTCTATAAAATACTCTAGAAAACTAATCAGTTTCTTTTAGGTGGTAAAATTTTGTCTATTTTCTCCCCCTATTTATTATTTGTTAAATTTGACTAAATGAACATGCATTGGTTGTATTAATTTTTTTTTAAAGATTTATTTGTGCATACAGAACTGGGGTACAGGCCAGAGGCTCAGGGGCAGTGAGAGGCTTCACCAGAGACAGAGTGGGAAGCAAAACAGGCAGATCGACGAAGTACATTGCTGAGGGGAGCAGCGGGCGGGTCAGGAGAGGTCTGCCACGCCATGTAGATCTCCTCCGGGGCAGGCGGGGATCAAACTCATGCAGAAGTGGCTTAAGCTTCATAGTGCAGTGCTTTAACCTGCTGCGCCACCAGGGAGGGCCTCATTTTTTTATTAGGAAAAAAAATGTATTTCTCTACCAAGGCAAAAATACATTTATATATATATACATTATATATATATATATTTATAGTTTTATATATATAGTTTCTATAACTATATAGACATGGACAGAGATACAGATAATATCCACATAGCAAAACCTACCATTACTGAAAAACAGAACTTTTCCCCTGGAGTCAAATCTTAACAGGAATGAACAGTATAACAATCTCTTCAATACTGGTTTCAAACAAGTGCCTGTGCAATCTTCATTCTACTCTTGGTTTAAGTCAAGGACATGAGACATGTGTAAATGGGACTGAGCTATTGGAGTCCAGATTGTCACTTACTGGCCATATTGCATGATAGCAGAATATTATTCAGAATCCTTGGGGCACATGGGGGAGCTGCAGCTAAGACTCACCTTCTCAGACTACTCCTCCCTGCTGTTATCTCAGCCATCTTGCCCCCACCCTGCATTCATTCACACACACACACACACACACACACACACACACACACACACACGCTGCCCAGATGTTAATGTGTGATGTGCTAGACAAGATCCCACTTCTTTCATGTCTCCTGATCTGGTCTTATCATCCTCCTCTCTCTTTTGTCTTCCTGACCTGACAAGGTCAAGGCTCAAGCCCTCAGTCACCTGGTGGCTCAGTTCCTGCTTGACATACAAGCCTGCAGGACCCCTCCAAATCCTGGGTCCTCTTGCATGTTCCATGTGCCTCTCTAACTACACACAGTGCTCCCTTGGTCACTGGCTAGTGAGGAACCAGCATCTTCATGAATCCTTGCAATCCACTCCTGAGAAGGTCTGGGCACATTAAACAGGTCATCCATATGTGGATAATTGGGGGGAGGGGAAGTAAAGGGGTTGCTCTAACAGAATGGACTACAGAGGCCTAAGAGAAACAAGCAGGACAGATTACAGAGGCTGAGAAAGCAGAGGCCTGCAGCTCCTGGTGGTGCAGGATGCCCGAGCCTGGAGAGCTGGTAGAGAAAAGTCAAGAGCAGACTTTTAAATCAGATCACTATGGCCTAGTGAGCAACTGAGACAGAGCCTCTCCTCCTTCCCAGGGACCTGACTTCATCTCAGAAAAGGTCACTCTTAGTCCACAACCACACCTTTTGCTTAGTGCTACACAGTTACAATCCTCCAAAACACCAATTCTTGATCATCCAGGTACAAAGGAAAAGAAGATTTTCTACCTCCTCCTTAGCTGCCCTTACTTCCCTAAGAGTCAAGGTCAGGCCCTCCCTGGTGGCTCAAAGGGTTAAAGCCCAACACTATGAAGCTATCGCAGCCACTGCAGCACGAGTTCGACCCCCAGCCAGGGAGCTGACCCACATGGCACAGCAGACCTCTCCTGACCACCCACTGCTCCCCTCAGCACTGTATTTTAGTCAGTCGGCCTGTCCTGCTCCCCACTCTGTCTCTGGTGAATCCTCTCACCCCCTGCACGTCAGGCCTGTACCCTATTTCTGTATGTTTAAATAACTAAATCTCTTTTTTAATAGTATAATAGTGTATTTTTACATCATTTTGTGCATTTTTCCATTTCTGTTGCAATCCCCTTGGGCTTCCCGTCACCAAATCACCATAGTCCAGGGCATTTCCCCACACACACACACTGTTTTTGATCCCATTCCCCACTCCACCCCCATAAAATGTCTCTGGTATATAGCTAAATAAATAAATCTTTAAAAAACAAAAAGGTCAAGGTCATTGGCAGGTCAGAGTTCACTAAAGGAAGGGAAAGGAAGGGTCTTGCAACGGACCCAAGTGCTACCTTAGCAGTTCCTGTTCTGTGTCTCAGCATCATTCACGACGGAAGAAGGCCAGGCCCCAGACAACCCAACTCCCAGTCCAAGAAGATAGACCCACCTCTGTGATTTCCATCGTCCCTTAGATAGGATTCTTGTTAACACAGTCGCTAGGAAGTTTCCTAAAGGAAGGGTGAATCCCTTTCAGAATTGGAAACTGAGCTTCAGGCCAAAGACATATCCCTGAAAGCTCAGAACGGCTCTTCCCCTACTGGGCCAGCAGGTGGCACCACCATCAACACTTTCAAAAACAAAACTGAATTAAACTGAAACAGATTTTTTTTTTTGTTTATGCAAATAGCTCATTCTCTACAACATTCCTCCGGGAATGGTTTCCCCCACCTCCCACTCCACCGTCATCCCACCCCCTCCCTCCTCTGTATGACCGTCCTCTCCCTGGACGCAGAGTGGATGAAGCCGCTTTCAGGAGAGTGGAGCCCAAAACAGACCCTGAGATATGTGAGTAATGATGGGGACCAAGGAGGGAGGGAGAAGCCAGAGAGGATAATCCTGAGCCTGGGAGACCCCACTGCTCCACTGTTCCGGAAGATGGGCACACCCTCCCTCCCCACACACCTTACCTGTTCCAAGGAGCAGACGCGTGCACACATACATGCCCCCCACAGACACCCCAATCCCTCCTCCTGAGGACAAAAGGAGACCTTAGACCCATGAGGTGATGGCCATCTTTCTTTCCTCATCTCAGCACAGGGTCAGTGAGATGGAAGAATCCACTGTGCTCAGGGGGTGTCCTCTGTAGGTGACCCCATATTCCATGGAGGTTTCTGCCAGAGGCCTTTAAGAGTCTTTTGGGAGCCCTTTTAGAGGCCATGATTGAAACACTCACCCTCAATTAACTGGTCCCAAGCCAATCCCCTTCCAGAAAGGGGAGGGAGCAACGGGAGGGAGGTAAAGGGACAGTGATGACCTCTGGACTGGACACTGCCCTGGGGAGGAGAACCCAATGCAACCACTGCAGAAACACCCCCCACCCCCATTCACCTCCTCCTCCTAGAATATTTTAGTGAGCTCTAGAATGGCCAGAGAGGAAAATGTTCATAACATGACCATCCCATCCCCTACCCTAGCCGTTGCCCAAACAGCAAGGGTACCCACCTTCCAGCCCCACAGACACCCCTTTTCTTTTTGACAGGTGGCTCTTATCTCTCCTGGTGCCAGTCTTATTCTGCAGGGTGGAAGGTTCCATCTACCTCCCTCAGAGGCTCTATGGGGAGGTGACTTCCCCTCTGTATCCCAAGCCTTACCCCAGCAACTTAGAGACCACCACTGTGATCACAGTCCCCACTGGATATAGGGTGAAGCTGACCTTCTGGCACTTTGACCTGGAGCCTTCTGAGAGCTGTTTGTATGACTATGTCAAGGTAGGGGGCAGGCTGGGGAGGCGGGGAGGACAGGGTGTGTCTGGGTCCCAAGGACTCATGTTCCCCACCAAATATGAGTCAGGCCAGCCTTGAAAGAGCTGAAGGAGAAGCGCTGAGAGCCAGGTGATACCAGAATGAGGTGCCTACTGTTTCTAGGGGTCCTCAGTGAGCACAGGAAGATACAAGCTCTACTCTCTGGACTTCACTGTCTGCAGGAGTCAGAAAAACCTTCCCCACCTGCTGACTTGCTAGGACTCTTGGGGAAACTGCAGTGCCCAGTGTCCCTGTTTCCATGGAGAGTGTGGCCATGACCATAAGTCATGTAGGCCTCAACGGGAGCAGAGGAACACAGGGAAGACCAACATGTGTAAAGGGACTTCAAGCATAGCGTCCAGCGAGGACAAAGGGCTCACTCCTCTCACCCTAACCAAGGGTACCTTCCCAGCCCCAGCATTCAAGATCCAATAAAGATGAGTTTCCAGACTCAAGTAGAGCCTACAGCCCATCCATCCCATTCCAGCAGAGGTTAAGGAATTACAGAGAGATGATTCATCCTCCTAGACCACAGTGCTTGAGAACTTGGCAGTGCTGCAGAAGGTGGGAAGAGGGGAGATTGGTGGCAAAGAGAGTAGGGGGGGGCAGGAACCACTCGTGCTTTTGAGGGGTGAGGGGAGAGAACAAGGAGGTTGGATGGTGCTTGCCATTGTCAAGATGGTGGGTCCCAAAGGCTCACCTTTCACTTATCAGGAGGCATGGCTAGATGTGAATGGTTTGACCAAGCAAGTAATGAAAATCAAGCAGGCCAGGTCCAGGCCCTAGCAATGAAGGATAAGAAGGATGGGTGGAGACGACCAGGGTTCAGTGGAAGATCCGCACAGAGGAGGTGGGTCTGAAACAAGCTGAGGGACGTGAAGCAAGGAAGAGGTGATGGATCACATACCAGATACATGCAGAGTTAGCCAAGAGGAGACCCAGGTGGATAGATGAAGTCACCAGGGGAAATCTGCGACAAGTTGGAGACAGGGAGGTCGGAGGGCATTCCAGCAGTGGGCCACAATGACCTTCTCTGACTGCCCTTATGGGATAAGACCCTACAGATCATCTTCCAATCCCATGTTCTTCCTCCACCAGATCTCTGCTGATAAGAAAACGCTGGGGAGGTTCTGTGGGCAACTGGGTTCTCCACTGGGCAACCCCCCAGGAGAAAAAGAGTTTATCTCCCAAGGGAGCAAGATGATGCTGACCTTCCACACAGACTTCTCCAATGAGGAGAATGGCACCATTATGTTCTACAAGGGCTTCCTGGCCTACTATGAAGCTGTGGGTGAGTGACCCCTGGGAGCCCTTTGATCTGGCCTCCTTTATACTAAATGGGGGTTAGCAAAAGGAAATTATGAATCCCAAGAATCAAGAAGCCTGGCCTTTCTTGTTTTTCCCTTCAACAGTCTTTTCCAGAAGAGGCCTGTCAGCAGCAGTGCTAGCCCCTTGGGCAGTGGCCAGAAAGCAACAGAGGTCAGGTGGCCAGGAACTAACTTTATCTTTTTTTTTTTTTAGATGTATTTATTTGTGCATACAGAACTGGGGTACAGGCCAGAGATTCAGGGGTGGCGGAGGCTTCACCAGAGACAGAGTGGGGAGCAGAACAGGCAGATGGACGAAGTACACTGCTGAGGGGAGCAGCGGGCGGGTCAGGAGAGGTCTGCCGTGCCATGTGGTCACCTCCGGGGCAGGCGGGGATCGAACTCATGCAGAAGTGGTTCTTAGTGCAGTGCTTTAACCCACTGTGCCACCAGGGAGGGTCAGTTACTTTATCTTTAGGCCTCCACTGAGTGACCTCGCTGACCAGCACAATGGCAGAAGTCCCCTCACAGAAGGTCACCCTTTTTTCTGGACTCTCTTCCAGACCTTGATGAATGTGCTTCCCAGAGCAACTTGCTAGAGGAGAGTCCTCAGCCCCAGTGCCAGCAGCTGTGTCACAACTACATTGGCGGCTACTTCTGTTCCTGCCGCGCAGGCTATGAGCTCCAGGAGGATGGGCATTCGTGTCTGGGTGAGGTCAGGTGGTATGGGAGGGAGCCAGGGCTTGCTGCCAGCCCAGGGCCTCCACATGATGTCCTCTCCACTCTGCTTTCTCAGCCGAATGCAGCAGTGAGATGTACACGGAGCCTTCAGGCTACATCTCCAGCCTGGAGTACCCCCAGCCATACCCCGCTGACCTGCGCTGTAACTACAGCATCCGAGTGGAGCGGGGCCTCACCCTTCACCTCAAGTTCCTAGAGCCTTTTGAAATCGATGACCACCAGCAAGTGCACTGCCCCTATGACCAGCTGCAGGTACAGCCATCTGCCCCTGCAGAGAGCCTCCCCTCCTATCTCTCCCCTTCCTTCCTTGTCCCCACTTCCAACTGAGTCCTCCGGCCAATCAAGACAGATTAGGCGAGACTGCACACAACTCAAGTGAGTCCCAAGATCCTTTTTCGCTTCTGGTTGGAAACATGCAGCAAGAGGATTCCCAGCACCCTTCTGGCCCAGTGGGGAAAAGTCTGAATTGCAAAGATGACCTTCCCTCCTCCCCACCAGATCTATGCCAGTGGGAGGAATATCGGCGAGTTCTGTGGGAAGCAAAGGCCTGTTGATTTCGACACCAACAGCAATTCTGTAGACTTGCTGTTCTTCACGGATGAGTCAGGGGACAGCCGGGGCTGGAAGCTGCATTACACCACTGAAAGTAAGGTTGCTGGGGGCCCTCCCTCACCAGCAGGAGGGCAAAATCAAGGGGAGGGGAAAGCAAGGACAAGTGGCTCTGAAATTAACATGCCCTCTCATCTCCACATTAGCCATCAAGTGTCCCCAACCCAAGACACTAGATGAGTTCACCATCATCCAGAACCTGCAGTCTCAGTACCAGTACCGTGACTACTACATTGCCACCTGCAAACAAGGCTACCAGCTTGTAGAGGTAAGCGGTCAGGGCTAAGGAGAGAGCAGGCCTCATCTTCCAGTCATGCCAGTCAGTAAGGCCCACAGCGTGAGCTACATGGGACACCTGGTCTACCAGCTCTCAAATTTGACTACACATTGGAAACAGAGTTAAAAAAAAAAATACTAACGTATTTGGATTCCTCACCAAAGATTGATTCCATTGCCCTGGAGTACACCTGGGCATCTGGATTACTGAAAGCCCCCCCCCCAGGTGATTCTAAGGTTAGCCAAGTTGTTTATGAACACTGACCTTGGCCAATATCTCACTGTAGAAACAGGGACTGGAAAAACAGGGGTGGAGATAGTGTGCAAGGTGGCACACTCAATAGCACAGTGCAGGTATGAGGACCCCAATTTCCTGCTTCTTGCTCTAGGGATCTTTCATGTGCATTGGCTCACCACCTTGTTTTCAATTTTGCAGACTCAGGAAAGAACGTGAGTTCATCAGTCGATCAAACTCACAAAAGCTAATAAACTAAAATGTTATTTATAGTATATACAGGTACAGATTTATAATACTATTTACCTGAAACCTATAGAATGCTATAAACTAATGTTACTGTAAGAAAAAAATTATAAATAAGTAAAGCATTTCTAAAACATACACACCGTGGTCAGGAATCTAAAACTTAACATCCCACCTTTTGTTTAACAAATCCACTTGGAAAACCTAACCAGAAAATCAGAGATGTTTGGTCTAGCCATCCTTAACTAGTAGTTATTTTGTTCATGAAATCCTTTAGGCATTTGCCAAGTGCCAGGCAGTGTTCTAGAGGCAGGAGGTACAGCAAGAAGAAACATACATGTTATCTCAGCCCACTGCACTGACACAAGAATGTGCCACCCAGCCCAGGTAGCCAGTGGGATGGCTCCTCAGCCCAGCTGCTTCCAGTCACATCGTGAGGACTGGGGCCCTGGCGCTGAAGAGTCTTGTGCTCTGCCAGAGTTACTACCCCGTTTCTGAGTCGCCCCCATCCTCCCCTAGAGTGACATGTGCATTCTAGAATGTAAAGCAAGTCACCCAGCTTATCTGATATTATTTACATTTCACTCGACAGCCTTGTTCTTCTCATACATAGCCTCATGCAGGCTTTTCCTAGGCTAACTCTCTGGGATGATGTTTGGTCCTAATAAGACATTCATACTGTCCGACCACATTTCATATCAGAGGTGCCACATTCTTGTCTCGCTCCTGCTACATCTACACAACCACAGTGGTGACTGGTAAGCATCAGCATCTCAGGCACTCTTGGAAGTGGCTAGGGCTGTGCAGTATTTTAGGAAGGGATCTTGCCCTGCAGAAAACACAAGTCTAGGAGAGAGGAAGTGGTGCAGGACCAGCCTGACAAAGGAAGAGAAACGCTGTTGTGCTTCAGGGCAGAGTCTTTCTTGTGTTTCGGTGCAGAAAATACACAGACCGCCCTGTTTTATTTTTTTTTTTTTATTATTCAATTACAAATTGTGGGGTTCAACTGGACTTCAGTGGAAACCAGCAAGAGTCCAGAAAAAAAACTCATTGGGTCTAACAATTAGCCCTCCCTTGAATGTTTGTTTTGTGACTCAGCGCCCCAGCTGATACTTTGGACTGAGAGGACTAGCTTAGGAGAAGCAGCATGGACAAAGGATCCCCTTGGGCAGGGGTGCTGCGGTCTGTGCTTCAGAGATGCCCTTGTACCCTACTGCACCTGTGTGGGGAGTGGCAGGAAGGGACCTGCCGGGAGTCATGTGCTAATGGCACCCTTACTTTTTGCTCAAATAGGAGGACCAAGCGCTGCCCTCCTTCACAGCTGTCTGCCAGGATGATGGCACATGGCATCGCGCCATGCCCAGGTGCAAGAGTAAGTCACAACTCAGGTGTATCTGCCTCTGGGTACCTCCCAACCCCCAGTCTTGGGGCCTTAGCCTGAGAAAGTATGAGGGGATCTACACTAAGCCTGTCTTCACAGCCCCCAAGCCAACTTGTCTGTGAAGTTATGCCCCATCTCAGAGACCAATCAACCCTCATTTCAGCACTAACATGGCCCCAGCAGGACTGGTGGACTCTCCTGAACTAGGTTTTACTCCATCCTGTTCCCATTCATCCTAAGTGCTCCCCCTCCCCCGAAGCATCCCCTGGGTCCATTCCTGGTCTGAGGGCAGACAACTCACATTTCTCCCCATAAAGTACCAGCACAGTCATTCTCAGTCCTCATGACCCTGTGTTCTCTCCAAGTCAAGGACTGTGGGCAGCCCCAAAACCTGCCGAATGGGGCCTTCAATTACACCACCACAGAGGGGGTAAACACCTACAAGGCCAGTATCCAGTATTACTGCCATGAGCCATATTACAAGATGCAGACCAAAGATGGCAGCAACGAGTTTGAGCGAGGTAGGTCTGAGCCAGGAAGGGACCCGGTGACAGCCTTCTACTTCCATTTCCTTTGAACAACTGAGATTTCATCCAACAAAATTCTTAGCAGATGTATATTAAAATATCTTCTGAGAACACTGGTTTTAATGGTCTAAGTACAGTTCCAAAGAGAAGCTAAGGAAGTTGAGGAAAGAGGCATCTGACCTGACAAAAAGACTTCAGTGTCATAAATAATCAGTTTCCTCTCGTCACCATCATCATCCTCACCACCACCACTACTTCAGCTACGTCAGTGAGACTTCCCCCAGTATTTTCTCCACATACCTCAACAGGCTACTAAATTGGAACTTTGCATTTGGGATTACTAAATGACTCTCGAACTCAATAATAGGTATCTTTAAACCCTTTCTAATAAATAAAATCATATACTTGGTAGGTTGGGAACATGGGAAAGGGAAAAACTCCTTTGATACATCCTCTATTTGGTGTTAGGAGAGAACAGGACTTGAAGTGAATCCATCCTCACTTTGTAGCTTGTATCTTAAAACTTAGGTGACCTATGCGTGAACTATGTAAACTCACTTTCCTTAACTATTGATTGAGGTTAATAACACTTAAATAAGATAATACAGCTAAAGCACTCAGCAAGAACCATCACACATTGTCAGGAGTCAGGACAAATACTCACCATTATCTCCAGTTCCCCTACCCAGATGCAATTATTGATAAATCTTGATAAGTGCTTTCCAATGTTTGGGTGAACTTCCACAAATAACATATAGTTAAGCATTCTTATTTTACACAACATTAAAGCAAGGATGTGCTTAGAGACTCAACACCTGGGATCCCATCCTTGTGTATTTGAACTTTCTTCTTTGGTCTTGTCTTTGCTGGTTCTGAATCTCACCCCTTCATGCCCAGCACACTCAGTGCTCACTGGCCTCTATTCCTGGTCCCCTCCCCACTCAGGGACATACACCTGCACAGCCCAGGGCCTCTGGAAGAATACGCAGGCGGGAGAGAAGATTCCTCGGTGTTTGCCAGGTAAGTGGAGACCCCAGGGCCTCCTCAGTGACATGCGCTCCTGCTGGACCTCAGGAGAAGCATGGCACAGAGATGGAGACAAAGCAAGTGAGAGACACTCCAGACTGCAGTTGAAAGCAGACATCAGGTGTAAAGAAAAAAAGGAGAGGAGACATCCCAGGAGGTAGGGAGAGAGGGGCCAGGGAATGCGCTCAGCTCTGACATGAGCATTGTCACTGGCACATGGGAAGTCAGGGAGTGAAAGAGCAAGGGAAACTCCAGGAAGAAACAAGCTAGAGCAAGAGGAGGCTGACACTAGTCCAGAGAAGGGAGTGGAGGACTGGGAGGAGAAAGGTGAGCACCCAGGGCATGAGAAGGGAACTGCCTGGCCACAGGAGGCCAGAGAGCTCACCTGTCCTTGCTTTCCCTGCCTCTCTCCTCCAGTGTGTGGGAAGCCTGTTAACCCTGTGCGGCAGAAGCAGCGCATCATTGGAGGGAAGGCAGCAGAGATGGGCAACTTCCCTTGGCAGGCTTTCACCTCCCTCTACGGGCGAGGGGGTGGAGCGCTGCTAGGTGACCGCTGGATCCTCACAGCTGCCCACACCCTCTACCCCAAGCACAATGACAAGGCAAACAATGCCTCTATGGACGTGTTCCTGGGCCACGTAAATCTTACGGACATCCAGAAACTGTCAAACCACCCTATCCGCAGGGTCATCGTCCACCCAGACTACCTCCAGCACGACCCCCACAATTTTAATGCAGACATTGCCCTGCTGGAGCTGGAAAACAGCGTCACCCTGGGCCCCAACCTCCTCCCCATCTGCCTCCCTGACAACAAGAACTTCTATGACTGGGGTCTTATGGGCTATGTCAGCGGCTTTGGGATTATGAAGAATAAGTTATCTGATGACCTGAAGTTTGTCCATCTGCCTGTAGCCAGGAGACCGGTATGTGAGAAATGGCTCCGGGCTCAGAAAAGTGTTGATGTGTTTTCTGAAAACATGTTCTGTGCTGGGGACCTGACTCTGAAGCAGGATGCCTGTCAGGGAGACAGTGGAGGCGTCTTTGCTGTGAGGGATGAGGACACTGGCCGCTGGGTAGCCACAGGCATCGTCTCCTGGGGCATCGGGTGTGGCAATGGGTATGGTTTCTACACCAAAGTGCTCAACTATGTGGACTGGATCAAGAAAGAAATTGGAGAGGAGGACTGAGCCCAGAAGTCACCAGGTCAGAATTCAAAGAGAAGTGTGTAAAGAAAAAACCAACCTGACCAGTTATTGATAACCACTAACAATTGATATTAAAATCACTGATGCAGAAAGACACTGTGTAAAATAAAGTCTCTTTCTATAGTCCCATCCACATTCTTCACTTGAAACAACCCAAAGAGTACATTTCCTTTGTTTAAAAAAATGAAATTCAGCTGAGTGAATTTCATTAACTGGAGCAAAAGGAAGGTGATCCAAAGAACTATACTAAATAAAAGGTTTTTAAAGGCAGTAAAGGGGTGGAGGAAATACGTTTCTACCAAAGAGTGGATTATTTCAGGTAAGGTCACCTGGCTTTGGGAAATGGCAGGGTTCCATCAGGCGGGTCACCTCACTAGAACTGAGCAGAAATTTTCCAGATTGACTAATTTTAAGGTTCCACTCTGCAGAGATTAAAACTGATTAAGGTAGGTGTTAAATCTCAGTTTGGCAACTTGGACTTAGCACCAGGAACTCCATTTTGTGCCTATTGTCTCTTTTTTTTAACACCTTCCTCTGTGCAGAGGATCTGTTTCTTAATATGACATTATCACTGTCCTTACTGATTTTTATACTATTGGGTAATTAAATAAACTCTTTACAAATAAAATTTTGTGAGACCTTCCAATGTGTAAAATGAGTTAATGTGGCATTTAATCAATCTATTTTGTAAGGTCACTGCAATCTTATGATTTCTAAGAAATGTATATTTGGTCATTCAGATGATCAAAATATATGTTTTCATATATATTTCCACGGCCCCTGGGTCACAGCTCCTAAAACCCTTGAAAATGCCTCAGCCTAAGAATATCTTTTGGTGTAATATTTGGTCTCAGGTTCTCAGTTCCCAAATTTGGTTTTATGTTAATGAAGTGACTCTTAGAAAGCACCCTGAGGTGGTGCCGGCTGTCAGGGGAACTAACACTGACTGGAGGACTGGAACTTTCAGTCCTATTCCTTGATTTCTGATGAGGAGGGGCAGCAGGAGGTGGGGGAGTTGGAGGTTGAATCAGTTAATTGAATACCAGTTAATTGAAGCCTCCATAAAACCCAAAAAGGAGGATGTTCAGAGAACGTCCATGTTGGGGAACCAGAATGTTTCCATGTGCCACAGCCCTGGGCCCCAAGTCCAGAGGCTCGAAAACTTTGTTCAGGACTTTGCCTTACCTATCTCGTCATCTGGCTATTGAGTCACTGTTGTTTGTAATAAACCAATCACATAGCAAGTAAATGGGTTTCCTCAGTCTTGTGAGTCATTCTAACAAATTCATTGAACCCAAGGAGAGGGTTGTAGGGACCTTTGACTTGTCAGCAGGAAACAATTTGGACTTGCCATAGCCATGTGAAGCAGGGCAGCCTTGGGAGCCTGAGCCCTGCGCCTGTGGAAGCTGATGTTGTCTCCAGGTAGATAGTGGCAGAATTGAGTGGCATGATAGGACACCCTGATGGCACGGGACAGTTGTTTGGTGGGGTAAGACACCTACTCACACACATCACAGTTGACTCCCAACCACTTAGTCAGGTTTATTGTATATACTTGGCCTCCCTGGTGGCCTAGGGGTTAAGTCTAAGTCTTGATACTGCCACTGGTGATGGTGATGGCCTGAATTCCATCCCCAGCCAGGGAGCTGGCCCACTTGACGCAGCAGACCTCTCCTGTCTTTCCCGCTGCTGCCCTCAGCAGTGTATTTCAGCACATCTGCTTGTTCTGCTCCCCATTCTGTCTCTGGTGAATCCTCTCACCCACCGCACCTCTGGACTGCACCCCAGTTCTACTGTTACAGGGTAGCCTACAGTGGACTGGGCCGCCTGTCTGTTGGGCCTCACCCGAGCGCTCACCATTCGGTTACACTGCAGGTACACACAAAAGGGTCAATAACGGGTTTATTTACAAAAGGGGAAAGGAATAGGGAACATCCCAGGGAAAGAGAGTGGGATACAAAGTAAATTGAATACCTTACGGGTAGGCTGACTGAACACACCGAATAAGGCAGTCCGGAGAGCCGTTTCCTGAGCGAGAGAGCGAGAGATGCAAGCGTGCCCTATTTATCCCCCAAATGACCCAGAATTCCTGCTAGCTCCGCCTTTGGGTCCTCGCAGTTCTCTCCCTGGTACTGCTGGGAGTTGTAGTTTCCAGTCACTGGAGTAGGGGGTAGAGTCCAGAAAGCTGGAGTAGGGGGTAGAGTCCATAAGACTCTGCAGAGTTCCTTTAAGACATCCTTCCCCTTAACACTTCTGTGTAAAGTAAAAGTAAATAAATAAATATCTTACAATAAAGAATAGGTCTTTAAAAAATCATAATATTTACTTAGGAATACAAGGAGAGCAATTAAATGTATGAACACATTTACAATTAGCATCATGGCTAAGAGCTTATTTCTGCATTTTGTTCTGATTGTAGAATATGAAGAAAACCCCGCTTTTCCCACCTAAGGAATGACAAATACAACAGCATTTTCCCCACCATTTTTTTTTTCTTGTAAAGTTTTGTTTTGACCAGGTTATAGGAGACAGGTTGGAGAACACCCCACCAGGGGCATGTCCATTCTAATATTCCTGAGAGAGATTTGGGAATATTTTCTTTTACTTGATGCTGCTGCTCCCAGCCCTTACATGTCCATCAAGAGAATTTCCTCTTTTACTCAGAGACACCCGTTCCCTGCCTCTTCCTGATGCTTCTTCTTTGGGTGAAGTTCTCCTCTTGGGAAGACATCCATAGCCAGCTGTCTCTTCAGGATCACTGCTTGCTAATTCCTTGTATAAGGTTTTGTTTCTTGGGTCTGACAAGGGACGGACAGGTTGCCCATTCTGTTCTCCCAAGGAACCCACAGGAAGGTGGGGGAGCAGGGTTTATTTGTATTTGTTTTCTTTTTGGATCTTTCACTTGTCTCCTCACACTCCTCCAGAGCTGGGCCATTTCTTTTCCTTCTTCAAGCGTTTCTTCCCGTTTCTCTAGTTTCCTAGTAATCTCAGCAGCCGCCCCATCTGCCCTCCCTTCAGGACACCCAGATTCTTTCATAGAATCTCTCCAGTCTCACAAAAGGATAGCCACTTCTCAACTACCTTGCAAAGCTTCTCCCAAAATACACTGTGGGTAGGTACCTCAGCAAAGCAATTATTTCATGAGTCGGGACTGCATTGAAAAAATGATATCTAGCAATAATAACTTGGATTCCCTAAGATACATTTAAAGGTCAGAGAAGGACACAAAACTTGGCAAAATCACTGAAGTGTTTACAATAGAATGTTATCATGACATTATTGCCCAACCAACTCCTCTAGACTTGTTTGAACAACTTTATGTAAACCAACACAAACAAGCCTGAACTCAGGAAAATCAGTTGACACTTAAAAGTTTCCCAAGTAAAGACAAGTTGTTAAACCCAAATGCATGCTCCACAATCCTTTATCTGAAATCTTTTTTGGTCAAGTACCTTTCAATAATCAAGACTTTATGGATTTCAGAAATGTCATATACTATCCGCTATGCAAAGCCTGAGGAGTCACCTTATAATAAAATAGATGAACAATTTTTCAGAAAAAAGTGTTCAATTATTCACAAAATGTGAAATAACAGCTAGAAACGACTCCCTGTCAGTTCAGTTCAGGTTTTGCTTCTGACTTAATTTTTGGTGCCAAACTTATAAAATTAGTTTCAGTTTGTAGGAACATCTTAGGTTTCAGGATTGTGGGCTCAAATAGAAATGACAGGACTTTTTCTCAAAGTTTACATAAAAATATACATGTTGATTGCCATTTATTTTATTTTTTTATTTTAATAATATAACAGTTTATTTTTACATCATTTTGTACACTTTTTTGTTTTTATCTCAGCTGTAATCCCCATGGGCTTCCCATCACTGAATCACCCGTGTGCCATCACCATAGTCCTGTGCACTTCCCTTCCCACCCCCCTTCCCCGTTTTTGATCCCATTCCCCACTCCACCCCCACAAAATGTCTCTGGTATATGGCTGTTCATTATTCTTATTATTTTCTCGCCTGCTCCATTATACTCCTGCTATGAACGAAACCATCCAGTATTTTTCTTTTTCTTTCTGGCTTATCTCACTAAGCATGATCTTTTCCAGCTCCATCCAAGTTGCTTCATTGCCATTTTTTTTTTTAATGATTGAAAATGTTTTCAGAAAAAAGCACTTCAGAGCTCTACTGAAAACTAAACAAAAAAGGGGAACTACATTATTTCTAAATTTCCTGGCAAATGTAAGATTCTGACTCCCAAATCCTTATAACCATCAAAGGCAACTCCAGCCAGAGTCCACCAACAGGCTGGTTCCCAGCCCTGGGGTGCCTGAACCCTACCAGGACCTGACATGCCATGGAGGCTGCTTGGAGCCAGAAATCAGGGTTGAGCCTCCTCTGAGCTGGAACCATCTGCTGGTCTCCTCAAGCACACCCCTGCTGAAGATATTTTCCTAGTTTTGACAGGCTGTGACAGTTTACTATAATGAAAGCTAAACATACCAGAGAGAGTAAACGAACCGCATTTATTTTTTATATTTTCATAAACACACCATTTTATTATTACAAAATGTTAAGAAGGCAAACTGACAACAGTTATTTGGTAGAATGTAAAAGCAAACCCTGCTATAGACAAGGGAGAATAGCTAAGTGCTATGAATGCAGGGAAAATGGACACTTAAGTTATAACTGCCCGAAAAAATTGGAGAATATGAACCTCCAATGAAGAAAGAAAAGGAAAAAACAAAAAACTCCTGAACCAGAAGAAGCAGTTGCAGAAGTAGGAGAAAGTGAGGATCAAAAGGAAGATCCTGCTGTTGACAGGCTGAGTCAGTTTCCAGAAAGCCAGAATGGAAAAACAGAATAAACCTAGTTTCGAACATTCTAGATGCCCAAGGATAAAGGAAAAGACATGTTTCGGTGACGAGCAAGCAACTTAATAATTAAAATTATATTTATTCTTTAAATATCATTTTTAACATTTTAATCATAAAATACAAACTTTAGTTGAGACTAAAGATTATGTTTACATTTTGACTAAGCCTAAGTATAAAAATACTTAGTACTAAATAGTTTTTACTATAAAATAATTCATAGGGAATTGAAAATAATTTTAAATGTCATGCTCCTATCATAGTAAAGTAATAAAAAATTAAGATTTGCTAATAAGCAATAATCTTGAAAACAGTTCATTTGACTAGAGAAGCAAATGCATTCACAGGAATGCAGTTGTCATCTCGCTGCATTGAGAAGATAGTGTCCCTCCCTGCCTTGTAGCCAGCTCTTCATTTATACCTTTAAGGTCTTGCTTTTACCTCCAATTCTAAGGACAAAGGTCTTTGCTGCAAAGGAGCTTCAAAGCAAAGACCAAAAAGAAATATTGCAAAAATAGCATCAGAACAGTTCACACACACACACACACACACACACACACACACCATGTTTCTGTGGTGAGGGCCAGTGTGTCTACTCCCACTTTACATTCCCCTGTGACTCCAGTAAAATACCCCACAAGCCCCACTCTGCTAGTGAGTGGGACCATAATCTTTCAGGCTCTAGTCTGCTAGCCTCATTTGTCAACGAATAACTAAAACTGCTTCCTTTCCCCTCAAAACTCTGTCCATCTAAATGGCGAAGGGGAACTAAAACCAGAAATTACAGAATTCTGGCATCAATCTCAAGAAAATAGCTAATAAAATGGTGTGTTTATGAAGTTCATTATAAAAGTTTACTCACATCTGATTGGTTTATGTACTTCAAGAACTCGAAGTAAGTTCACCTTTATAATAAAAACTGTGAAAAAATTTTTGAGAGAGTTTTTAAAAGGGGAATAAATACGTGAGGTGATAGATGTGCTAATTAACCAAGAAGGGGAAATTGTTTCACAATAGATACTTCTACAAATCATCATGTTGTACATGTTAAATATGTTAGATTTTTATTTCCAATCATACCCCAATAAAGCTGAAAAAGTTTGTCTTAAAAAAAAATTCTTTTATTTATGCATACAAGAACTGGAGTACAGGCCAGAGGTGGGAGTGGTGGTGAGAGTATTCACCAGAGTCAGAGTGGGGAGCAGAACAGGCAGACTGACTGAAATACACTGACTGAAATACACTGAGGGGAGCAGAGGTGAGACAGGAGAGGTCTGCCATGCCATGTGGGTCACCTCCCTGGACAGGGATAGAATTCATGCTGCAAGGGCTGTGATAGCTTCACAGTGCTGCACTTTAACCCCTTGCACCACCAGGGAGGGCCAAAACACTTTGGTTTTTAATTTAAAAATACATATGT